TATGACTGACTGCATAATGCACACATGGTTTCTGAAAATTGCGTTAGGGGTCACGTTCCATGTGAGCTAAACAGTCCATGTATGCTGGTAGTGTATCTATAGCTTATGACCCCTAACGGTACTACGAAACTTTTGCATTTTGGAGAAATAACGTGAAATTTTACTAGGAAAAATAAAACGGTGAATGCCTTTTGGCAGAATATCTACAAAACGTCCGCAGGCAAGACATAGCCTCTCGAACTGACCCGCCAGTGATCAGCTTATTCTAACAATCAAAAGTAGAGATCAAAGACAGAATCGCGTTAACCAATAAGTCTGTCAGGGATAAAGGTTCAAGAAATATGAATATCAAAGATTTCGAATTTTCTGGTGCCATTTCCATCATAATCTATGTCAAAAACAAAGAGTAGGCAACAAGTAGATGAATAAATTTTGACCTTTCATTATGCCGAGAAACTCGCTAATAGTTAAGCCATGTAACAACCAGTAAAGTCAAAAAATTTATGGGAAATAGAAACTATTAAGGCTTGAAAAAATGAATGGTGGTAGTAAGAAAAAACATTAAATGATGGATTTGTAAAGAGTGAAAATGGCACCCAGTGTCAGCCCAGTGTCGTGCAGCCCGGCTTGAGGAAGCCCGGTTGCGGTCACGGCGACAGCATTCTGCTGCTTGAGATCTGCTACATTCTCAACCGAAGGACAAGCTGACAGTGGCTTAAAGACGCCGTGTCCATTTACTTTTCGAGGTGGTGCCGATGGATTTCACTCCAACGTTAGGATGATGAATCCAGTCAGTGACCAGGTAACGCACATGAAATGCAGCGCAATGAACTACTACTCCTATCGACCTATGATTCGACAGAGTGTAGGTAATCCCCCTTTTTAAATGCAGTCAATTGTTTCATCACTGCATTGTGGGAATGTATGCAAAAAATCGGAACTTGACGCCTGCTTTTCACTCGCTTGAATCGGACCAGGCTATGCTCTAAAGAATACATTCCTTTGCATGATGCAGTTGTAAACGACGGTAATACAAAAAGCGTTGTAAGATTACTGATTTTTTCCTCCATATGCACAGACAGTTCACGTCATATGTTCGAGTACGTTCGAGGTGCAATTGCTTACGTTTGTCAGCACGTGCGTCCAGACCTACTCATTATACTCGCATGCAATCCCGCTTGGGGCGATATTTACCAGGTCTTGCTTCCTGGTCTACCGTCGGTGAATAGGTATGACATCACAGCACGTGTTTTCGGGATGAAACTGCAATCGCGGATGAAATGCATAGTGAAACACGAGGTGGTTGGGTCTGTGCGCTGCTGGGTGTATTAGGTGAAATGGTAAAAGAGGGGACTGTCCCATGCATATGTCTTACTCTGGTTCTATACCAAGATCACCTCCAAAGAAATCGACGGTGCAATATGCGCTGAATTACCTGACGCCGACGTCGACAATGATTTGCATGAAGTTGTGGCGAAGAATATGATACATGGACCTTGAGGTGTGGCGAATTTTTTCCTTCCCCATCCATTAGCAAACAATTGCCCTGCCATCGAAAGCGGCTAGAAGGACAATCCTGGGTTTCGCACACAATATGTGTCACCAGCCGGTGGCCCTTACATTTTCTTAGTTGGAGACGTGCTCCTTCCTCTTTCCCTTATTTCCCAATTCAGCAGATTGAGCCACAGCAACGCGTGGCGGGGTCTGGCTAGTTACTTATGTAAGAAAAACCTAATGTATGCTGCTCGACAGGGATTCTCCAAAACTCGGCCTTGCGGCCCCTGTCAACTCTCTCTCTCTTTGATAATGTTCTCCAATCTAGGGACAATGGTTTCGCGTTTAACGTAATCTATGCCGACGATCTGAAAGCCGGCAGATCGTGACATCGTGCTCGGTGTCTTGAACAGCGACCTACTGGCCTTTGCCCAGTGGTGGCGCACATAGCGCCTTCCTCTTACTTAGCATAAACGTTCAGTTATGGTGGTTATCGATGGCCACCAACCCCAACTAAGTATTGACGGTCACGACATAAATTTGCCTGAAGTTATTCAGAATCTGGGTGTATCATAATTCAAGAGTCTTAATCTTTCGGAGCACTGCGTCCTACTAATCTCCAAAGCACGCAGAACGATCGGAGTTATCCTCTGCAATTTAAAAACTAGCGTTATTACAATGAACCTTTTTACAGCGACCAAGTAATTGTGGAAATTTTCGCATTTGTCCCGAAGATGCGTCATGGGCGCAACAGGGAGACAGAAACGTGTTATGTATGCAAAACATAAGGTTGGTTGTAAACAGGACGTGTACTGAGTAGAAAAGACAGCACAAGTGGGGAGCCTTGTGGAAACGTCTGGGTATATGGCATGGGGGAATGCCTTTGGCTGAAGGGTGGCCAATCAGCGCCAAGGTTGGCTGAACGGGGGTACACAACCTTGGTCGCGCACATGTGGCGTGATGTCTAGACAGTCCGGATCTGCACTTTCTCCAATATTTGTGGTGGGAAAAGAGCTGCAGGGCTAAAATAAATGAGGTTTCCGGCCTCAGATGATACTCTGGCGAACGTCTTAAAATATTCGACAAGCAAACTCTTCAGAATATTAGCCCACATTTTCTGTCATCCGCCTGAATAAAAGAGACCCACATCAGTGTTGGAAACAGCAAAGCATCCACCATAAAATTTCACGATAGGTGCCCAACTAAGGCAGATAACCAACATTCTGGTAGTCTAACCTGCATCTGAAGTAAATCAATGAAATGTATGAATAGCAAACCGGCCATGAAGATTCGGCGAAAAACGACATCCGCATACGGCTCCAATATGGCTTCAGACCGATTCATGATGAATTTTACTATTTGCTGTTTTCGAGTGAAAGGTAAACTCGTGCGCTCGAAGAGGAGAGGATGCTTAGCTTCTTCCACACTGATTTTAGACAGGATTTCGACAGTGCCTAATAGAAGTGTTCGGTTAGCCAATGTAGCAGCCGAGGACGTCAAGCGTAGCACACACACAAGTAGCGAAGTACTGGCAAGGGATCCTGACTAACGTTGAACTGAATAGGGTCGTTAGTAAGTCGCGATACTAATACACACATAAAGGAAGAAGAAACGTCAAGTGGGCGAGAATATAAAATGGACAGAGATGGGTATTGTAAAGGCTATAATAATAGTTAATAGTACAAGCAGAACGAGTTACAACTGTGGAGTAATCTGTCTGGGTTGAGAGGCGATACCGACATGCCAGCTAGTTAACCGGTGGGGAAGGTAGCCCTGGGGACAACTGCATAGAAGGACCGAGGGAGGTGCCGACGTAGAGCGAAGGAGAACGGTACGAGCGTCACAGTACGATGCGGAAAAGGGGTCGGCGGAAGTGAGAGGAAGAGACACCGACCATCTTCATCAGCATGCAGTTACGCCATCTCTATCGTAAGTCCGCGCGCCACAACGTTTATCGTCATACAATAACCCTATCGAGGCCGTGGGGTAATACAGAAATGTTTTTAAACTGGAAAAAGGATTTTTTCAAGAAACTCAATAGCGATACGCATAACCGCCTCTAAGTCAACTTCCTCCTTCGCTATAAATGGTGTCCCATATAGGTGCATCCCTGTTCGGTCTCTCTTCCCGCCGTACATTAACAAACACGTATCTAACTAAGATTTTAGCACATTCAAGTTCGTTTGCCATCGCGAACGATATAGAGTCATCAGCTCTGGTGCAGGTACACACACACTCCGAAATAGCTCGCAATGAATGCATAGCTGTCCGTTCTTGTATTTCGACGTATGGGTGGTGTTAAGTGCATGATTGTACGAATCCGTGCTAGAACATCGATCAAAGAAAGGCATTTTTTCTGATTTCTTCGCTATGAAAGTCCTTTACTGAGTGCTGATTATCAGAAGAACCTCGGTGTTCTACTACTCTCCTGGACAGTAACATTCAGGGATTGGAAGAACAAATATTTAATACGACGACAGTTCGACCGTCGATTTCGACGATGTCCACCGTGTGCCCCACAGCAGGTGGGAGCAGGGACGGTGACTTACGCAGGGGTTTATAGTGCCAGTAGACTTGCGTAGCATCTACCTACACTCTCTCCTCCTCTCCCGCCTGGGCCCGGTGTCAAGATAGAGTCAAGAAGACCGGAGACGGGGGAGGCCGCAGGTGGATGGCTCGGACGGATCCTCACCTTGGCGTTCCACCACACCCCCTGGTCCACACAACAATAACCAGGATTTCAACCAACACAACAGAGATTTGGAGGCTGGCACGGCCGAAGCCGCACCTGGGCGTGCCGCCAACGCCTGGCTCGGATCCCACACTGTGGTGAGAGTGCCATAAAGGCCACATTAAAAAGGAGTCATTGCAGCCTGACTCTCAGACCGCCTCCAGTGAAGGAGGAGGTCCAAGGTACCCCGTCAGTTGGCAACCTTCCAAACCACGGCTTTTAGCGCACCGTGATAGCTTCAAGCGCGTCAGATTGATTATAGTGAGGAAAATGCGCTGAGTCGTCGACCTCACTCTCCCTTCCCACTCCCACACCCCAGCCACTGTCCGAGCCGGTCAGTAGACTGGAGTGGGGAATGGGCGCGGTGGCTGACATGGTCGACTGACCATGCCTGCGCGCGCCACAGCACGACCTGGCCCCCCCATACACACAAACACCAGGATTTCACACAACGGGGGTTCAACGGCGTGTCTCTCACTTGCGTGAGAGTGCCGTGGAAGGTGCTGCTTCAGCCCATCCCCAGCCCACCAGTCCGCCACTACACACAACACACACACACACACAACGTGACGAACTGCGTGAACCGAGAGCGGGCCTCAATCAGCAACCTTCCTATCCACGACGCTTGACGTGTCGGGATAGTCTCGGACACAAGTCACCCGTGCAGCCGAAGCCGCATGGAGACCGAGTCGAGATGCACACTTTCCGCTTGCGTGGGAGGCGGCAGTTGAGTGCATGAGGTGTGTGAGGGTTGATGTCTGGTGGGGTGATGGTTTTAGGAGGTAGGGGGTGAGGGGATGTGTGGTGTGACCGGCGGTTGTCTACCGCAGGTCGTCGTGGATGCGCATGTGGCCGAATAGACCCATGCGATGCGTGAAGGTGCGAGGGCAGTGTGGGCAGTGGAGGCGAGTGCGGTGGGTGTAGGTTGGTGCTCCAGGCACTGGTTCGCCAGTCTCTGTGCGATGGATTCGCAAGTGACCCACCAGGCCGATGCGTGACGTGAAGGTGCGTGGACAATGTGGGCATGAGAGGTCGGCGGTGTCGGTGTCAGCTGTAGAGGAAGCAGTGGTGTTGGTGGTGGTGGCGGTGGTGGTGGTGGTCGGCGCGTGTGACGGTGGAGCGAGGATGGGTCTGGGCGTGGTGGATGTGTTGGATGTCGTGGCTGTATCGAAATTGTGGTCGATTCCGCTCTCGTGGATTCGCAAGTGACCGACCAGGCCAATGCGTGAAGTGAAGGTGCGATCGCAGTGAGGGCAGATGTAGCCCTGGCCCTCACGTCGGATGATGGAGGTTGAAGGGCTTGTGCCTGTTGTTGTGTCAGGTTCGGCTGTGGTGAGGTCGTGGGCGACAGACGCCGAAGCGGCCGTCGTTGTGGCAGTGAAGGAGGAAGAGGAGGAGGAAGGGGAGGAGTGAGGGGTGGTAAGGTCGGTGGCGTCGATGTCGGCTGGGGAGTGGTTAGTGGGTGCACAAGGTGGTGGATTGGGAGTGGGGCTCGGCGGGGTGGGTGTGTCAAGGCTGCGGTCAATTCCGCTCTCGTGGATGCGCATGTGGCCGGAGTGTCAGAGTTAGTTGGTGGCAGAGAGGGCGAGGAAGAGGCGGGCGGGGGCACGATGGCTGGAGCAGTTCGAGAGGTGCAGTTGGTTCGAAGATGTCCAACAAGTCCGATTCGTGCCCGGAATGTCCGGTGGCATCGAGGACACGTAGGGAGAGGTTGTGCGGCGGCGTTGCGGACTGGGCGAAGTTGTGATTTGCGGGCTTCGCGTTTCGCTTTGGCAGCGGCGATGCGGTTGGCTTCATAGATGGCAGCTCCCGTCTTCACTGTTCTCCTCCATGTCGGGCGATCGCGAGCGAGCTCTTCCCAGTTGGTCGGGTTGATTTGCAGGCGCTTCAGGGAGGACTTCAGGGTATCCTTGTAACGGCGAATTTGGCCTCCTTGACGACGAGAACCCGTCGCAACGTCTCCGTAGAAGAGTCGTTTGGGTAGTCGCTCGTCATCCATGCGCACCAGGTGGCCGCTCCAGCGCAGCTGCATTTGTCTCAGTATGGCGTAGATGCTGAGGATTCCCGTTCGTTCCAGTACTTCCGTGTCGGGGATTCGATCCTGCCAGTTCAGCCTCAGGATGCGACGGAGACAACTGAGGTGGAAGTGGTTCAGTCGGCGTGCCTGTCTCATGTACACCGTCCATGTCTCTGCTCAGTATAGTAACGTCGGCAGGATGACGGCCTTGTACATCTTCAGCTTCGTGCTCAGTTGGAGACCGTGGCGATTCCAAACTGTGTTTCGGAGACGACCGAAGGCTTGACTGGCTTTCGAGATCCTGCTGGCGACTTCGTCATCAATCTTGGTGTTTTGGGAGAGGGTACTGCCCAGATACGGGAAGTTCTCTACCACTTGCAGTTGAGTCCCATTCACGTTGATTTGCGGCGCTTTGGGGGCTGTGGCTGAGCTGGGAGGCGGCTGATGCATCACCACCGTCTTCTGCGTGTTGATAACCAGCCCAAAGTTCTCGCAGGCGGCGGAGAATAGGTCCATGCTCCGTTGCATCTCCACTTCTGAGGTGGTGTTCAGGG